CCAATGATGCTTGATGCTTATGCTCAAGTATTAAGACTAAAAGCCCTTCCCCACAAGTTCTATTTAGACCACGTGCTCTATTTCTGTCACTGTCATCGGTTTCTGGTCTCTGGCTCTGTGCCTGTCTGTCTGCCTCTGCCTCTATCTCTCTCCCCACTCCATCCCCTTTCCTCTTTCCTTCTCTCTCTTTCCTTTCTCCCCCCTCACCCTCCTTCCCCCAATTTTCTACTGACTTTCCTGACTCTAGCACACACTCCAGTTTCTCTGGGGAGACTCTATAAAGTCTGTTAGACCTTCAATTTGATCTCCTTGGTACAGGATAATTGGGAAAAACAAAAAGGAAAAAAACAAGCAAACCTTTTCACCTCCTCCACCGCCTGTCTCTGAGTGCCTTTCAGAACTCTCTCTTATTGTTGACATCCTTCCTCCTTTAATCCTCTTCCCTTTCTACTCTCATTATTGGTCAAATTGACCTCCCCACAGATCCTTAAGGTTAATATGGTTTTTTCCCCAGGCACTCCAATCAGAAAATGTAAGTGAAGTGGCAAATATCCCAGCACTTATTACCCTGAAGAGCCTTCAGAAGCAAAAGTAATGAAACTATCAAGAAAAAAGGCATATTCTTTTTTAGGCCCAGGTTAGACTAGATGACCTCGAAAGTCTCTTCTAACCCCATCATGCAGCAGACAAAGAGGGAGCCCTCCTGCTCAGCTACTTTCACACCCTGGCCTGGGCAGGCCCACAATTTAGGCCAGTCCTGACCAACATTTTTAGAACAGGCTACTTGGTGCATGCACATCACCTCTAATTCAATTCATAAAGTGAGCTTTCAAAAAACAACCTTATTTGTTGAAAGAATTTGATCAGAGTGGTTAAGTCCAGCTTTTTAGATCCCAGAGTTATACCCTTAGTCCAATAATAACCATAGTTCTTTTGAAGAGAAACTTCCAAAGTTCTCTTTTGGTCACTAAGACTAATTCCAGGCCATATTATCTCTTAGCATTAATACTTTCCCTCTGTGTAGTACCTGACATATTATTAAGAGCTTTCACATCTCTTGTCTTATTTGGACCTCACAATACTAAAGGTAGTACAGGCAGTAGTATTCCCATTTTATAGATGAGGAAACTGAGGCACGGAGAAGTTAAGTGATTAGCCCAAGGTCACACACCAATAAAATGACTCAAGCTCAAGTCTTCTCACCTTATATTATCACTGAGATAAGTGATAATTTATGTCAGATGGAACGGGAAGCATGGGGTAATGGCGCAAATTTCTGTTACAATCTCATTCTACTACACCATGCTTCCTATTCCATTTGAAATTCCATTGAAAAAGTATCACTTATTTATGTTGTTTTTGTCCCTTCTTTGAATGCTGTGATGATTTTTAAGAACACAGATAAAGATGCCCTGAAAAGCTGGCAGCCAAAGCCAGGCATGACAAGAGATTTCTATGTCTAGACAATATGTATCATGAAAAAGGAGGTCTGACCCTGAGACCAAAAGACTTGGGCTCCAGTTTTGGCTCTGCCACCATCTAGTGGTGTGATCTTGGGCAAGTCACCTCCCTTCCTAGGGACTCAGTTTCCCCCCCTTTGTAAAAATGAAACCATAGGTCTAGTTCTATGATTTATTTTTCTTTCATTTTTGTACATCTTCTTTAAAAAGAAGTAAGATTACCTATGTAGGTGACTATCTAAATATATAGATACAGTTCTCTGGTGCCATAGATAAAGATGGTTTAAGATTTTGCCACTCCCTTCCCTAGAGATGGAAATTGCAAACTACCCCAGTATTTTTGCCAAGAAAACCTCAAATGGGACCACAGAGAGTTGGAGATGACTGAAAAATGACTGAAGAACAACAATACAACTCCTTCTTCCCAGAAGAGAAGAACCAGGCCTGTACCTACAATGAAATAGCTGCAGGGAGGGGCAAGTGAGGTCTGAAATAGCCAAAGCAGAACAATCTCTCCTCTGGTCTCCAAGAGCAGTGTCAGGCTGGAATCATATCTATCTGTCACCCCTCATGTGTCTCTGGTCTAGGAGTACGACTTGGAGTTCAGAAGGAAAGCTGATTCCCTATTTGTTGTTCAGATTGAGAGTAACAGGTAGTTTACCTCACTAGCTTACCTTCTCCCCCATCAAATTCTAGTGACACAAAAGAGAATCATACAAAGAAAAAAGTGCCTGTTTATCCAAATAAAACAACGAATAGAAATTTGAGAAGATTAGAATAAACCTAAGAAGATATGAGTATAAATGAGCTCTTCTGCTGGGGGAGAGAGATCTCAGATCAAATCAGAGAACAAAGAACCTTAACTAGGGGAGATACAGTCTCTAGCATGTCAAACCTTGGAGGTCAAGAAACATCCATCATAGAGTAGGGCATCCCATGCATGTCCATGGCTAACAAGGGTACTGTCAGCCATTCAAAGTTTTTCTCCATCACCTCTCTGGAGGCTCCCTTCTCATATCTCTCCATAAAATGTTGGGCTCCAACTGACTTGAGCCAATGCAGTATCACACTTGGTAATCAGGAGTCAAGTCTCTCTCCAAGTAAACAAACGGCCTGGGGTTGTCCCTCCCCAACACTGCCTCTGGCTTGTGTGGAAAGTGGGTTAATAAGGCATTCTTGCTTTCAGCTGTTGTTGTTGTTGTTTTAAAGATCTATACACATTAAACTGATGAGGATTGTCGGTGTGTAAGAAATTAAATTATGTACTCTGCATATAAGGATAGCTCATGTTACTATTATTAACATGACATACAGAACTCTATGGTTTTAAAAAGTGTTTCATATGTCCAACGAGACTATTTGCCACATATATCATGGGTATGTCATTGTGTGGCTCAAAAGGAAGCAAGAATAGACTTCTCCAGTCCCTTCTTCACCCACCCGAGGGAGACTTTAATTCCTGCCAAGATGGGAAGCAGGAGATAAAAGGTCATTCTTTTCTCCTCAGAGAGAAGGGATATCAGGCTAGAATTACATCTATCTGCTCCCTTACATATTGTTAGTCTCATCAGGTTCAAGCTCAACTTCTGATTGCTGTCCATTAAGGGGAAAGGAAACACCCAAGCTCTATATCCAAGGTTTGACTCTTGCCACCAGAGGACCATGATCTGTACCTTGCCACTGGACCCAGAAGGCTCCGAAGGAGAAAGTGAGGCTGGTGATTTTGCACAGACCTGTCTCACTTAAATCCAATTCACTTGGAAGTCATGGCATCATCTTCCTGCTGCATTGGTCCTCTTCGAGAGCAAAGGACAAACATCAACAGCAATGACTCTTCCCACCACATACCAGTTTCACAATAATCACACAAACAGCAACTAGCAAAGAAACCCATTTATCTAACTCAATAGTAAAGCAGAAATCAGAGGAAGTACATATAGAAAAATATATACCAGACAATACAGAGTGAAGATGCTCTCCCACTGGGAGAGAGGTCACTCAGATCAACCAAGAGTTTCATAGATCTCATCCCAAGGGAAATTGCCCCGTATCATCTAGTGCAGCCAACTGGCAAGAGGGACATGAGGGAGGACCACTGGTTCCTCTCATGTCAGCTTCTTCTCAGAACCTCCTACTCCCTCCAGCATCCTGAAGTAAAGTTAGAATCATCCATCTTCTCTCTTCAAGCTGAGCCAGAAACACCAGAAGCAACTTTAGAGTCCAAAGAGACTGAAGGGACACAAAGAAACTGGAGAAGCCCAAAGAGAATCCAAGGAAACCAGAACTCTCCTCTCTCCCCCTCCATCCCCTCACACAGGGGCAGGGCATTGATCTCCACTAATGAGGAGAGAATCACGTACCAATGGACTTTGGAATTTAGGTTATATATACATTATCTAATTTATTCTCACAAGAACTACATGAGATAGGTACTATACTTTGGGAATAATTACCTCCATTTTATAGCTGAAGAAACTGAGAATCGGAGAAATTAAATGACTTAGCTAGCCACTGTCAAAGGCAGAACTAGAACCCGAATTAAACTGCATTTAGAGGGTTCACAATTAGGCTAATTGAGTAGGAGGATTTACACATCGTTGTGAAGTCAAAAATTGTCCAAACTTCAAGAAAAGCCACTGAGGCTCCAAGCCAATAGCACTTTATTAAAGGCTTCATGGCGCCCTCTAATGAAGTGGACCTCAGATCTTCCTCATGATATGAGATGCCCGTGGTCCCTAGGATGTTGTTTTTATAGGGTTTGATACTGGGTTTGATACCTGTACACTCTGGAAAGGCAACACAAAACACAAAATCCCATTGGTTTCTAGACCTTGCTTTGGGGCCCAAAAATGTTGTATCAGTCAAAAAATGGTATATCAACAGGGGAGTCATGGGTTGGGTGAAGCACAGAACATCTCTGCTGACTAAGTGATCATAACATGAGCAAAGCAAGAGTCATCTCCGGTGACTAAGTGTAAGTGGTCATAAGACAGTCGTAAAATAGTCACCTGTTCATGTTAGACAAGAAAGAGTGGTCTAGAGGTACAAAAATAAGTTGGGGGACTTTCCAAAGAATCAAGGTGTCCCACCTATGCTAGGCTTCTACACAGAAATTGAACAAAACAGGATAGAGATATCTCTGTCAGCATTCTTGTAGTTGTTCAAGAGAGATTCACAACTGGTAAACAAGCAGTTAACGTTACATTAAAATTTCAGGCCCACTATAAAGGCTCACTATAAGAACTTATCTTATCTAATTATCTCCATATGATTTGTATAAAATATCAAACTAATTAATACTGATTGAAATGGCATAGAGGTCCTAATAAATCATATCTCACACCGTCAAGGAGTCAGGGACAGCTAAGATTCTTCCTGTGGCTTCTTATCTAAGAACTACCCAAGGCTCTTAAGTAAACTTCTACATCTCATGAGATAGCCTTCTTTCAGGTAAAATTAATATTAAAACAGACTCTTAGTTAACCAAAAAATAAAAGAAGAATGACTTGTTCCATCTCACTCTACCCTCTCATTTTACAGATGAGGAAACTGATACCCAAGAAGGTCTCATGATCTCCCCATGAGCATACAGTAAGTATCACAGGTAGGATTTGAAGTCCTATCCTTTGCCTTCACAATGAGGGCATGTAGGCCACATCAAGAATCACAAAATCATATAGCCTTAGAATCACAGAATCTCAAAAGTAGAAAGGACCTTGGAGGCCATCCAATCTAACTCCTACCTGAACAAAAATTTCCTCAATTAATCTACAAGCATTAATTAAGTGCCTACTATATTCTAGGTACTGAGAATACAAAATAGAGGTGAAACCGTCCCCGAGGTAAATAAGCTTACATTCTGGTTATAGAGAGAAATAAGTTATACGCAAAATATAGGCAAAGTAGATACAAGCTAATGAAAAGGGAGTGTGGAGGCACCAGAAGTTGGGGGAGCCAGGAAGAGTCTTATATAGGCCCTTTTAAAATGATCGGGGCTTGAAGAAAGTTCAGAATTCTGAGAGGCAGAGGTGAAGTGGGGAGTACATTTTTGCAGGCATCAGGTGCAACCTAAACAAAATCACAGAGATGGGAAACTGAGGAACAGCACAACGACAGACATATTCATCACCATCACTGAGAAATGATCATCTAGTCTGGCCTGAAGACCTCCAGGTAAGGGAAATTCCTTGCCTCCTGCAATAGTCCATTCCACTTTTTGATAGGTCTCACTTTCAAGAAGCTGAAATTTATCTCTTGACCACTTCTACTCTTTTTCCCCACCCCTGGTCTAATGTATCTTTCATGCGACAGGTCACCAAATAATTGAAATATTATTACTCTCATTTTAAAAATAAGGAAACGGAGACTTAATCAGGTTTAAGAAACTTGCTTGAGGTGACATGGTTAATAAATGACAAAAGTATGATTCAAAGCCAGGTCTTGCTACTATAAGTCCGTGTATAAAGATTCATCTTTCTTGTAGCAACAAAAACTCAGGATTTTGCTGCTGTCAGGGGGGGGGGGGGTGGGAGTACTTGCTTATAAATTCTATGCCCTGCAGCTCCCAGATGTGTCAGCCATACAGATGGAAGAATGGCAGGATGCAGTCTTGACAGCATCACAAAACAGGCTGTGTGTTGGCTTGACTTCTGGAATCACAGCTAGAAGAGAAAAGAATGGGTCTGCCTTCCTCTTTCAGTTTTCCCATAGGCTCAACATATGTTTCACAGGCAGCAGGGTAAGTTCTAAGGGGGCCCCACTGCTAACAGCTGGCTGGTTCTCAGGCAGGCAGGCAAGGGTTATAGAAAAACATACCTAAGGTTACTAGACACCCAGTCAGACCAGGCCGTAGAAGGATCTGTTGAAGGAACTGCTGATGTTTGACTTAGACAACAGAAGGCTTAGGGGAGACATAATAGCAGCAGAAGCTTAACCCCAGAGGGTAAAACAATGGGTAGAACCTCTGGTTTGATATATAAAAAAAAATGTCCTAACCATTACAACTGTCCAAAAGTGGAAGAGTAGAATAGTCCACCTTAGAAAATTGAATTCCTTATCATTGGAAGGAAAAAAAAAAAGACAGGAAGGAAGGAAGGAAGGAAGGAAGGAAGGAAAGAAGGAAAGAAAGAAAGAAAGAAAGAAAGAAAGAAAGAAAGAAAGAAAGAAAGAAAGAAAGAAAGAAAGAAAGAAAGAAAGAAAGAAAAAAGAAAGAAAGAGAAAGGAAGGGGAAAAGTAAAAGGAAGGAAAGAAGAAAAAAGAAAGGAAAGAGAAAGAAACAAAGGAAGGAAAGAAAAAGAAAGAAGGAAAGAGGAAGGAAAAAAGAAAGTGAAGGAGGGAGGGAGAGAAGGAAGGAGGGAGGAGGGAGGGATTGTTCTTTCTCTATCTCTTTCCCTGGATTTTCATCCATGGCCTACCTGATAATCCTAGGCATCCCCCAAGGCTCTGTCCTGGACCCAGTTCTCTTCTCCAACTACACTTTTTCACTGGGTGATCCCATCAAGTCCCATGGATTCAATTATTATTTCCATGCAGATGAACTTTCAGATCTACTTGTCTAGCCCTAATCTCTCTCCTAACCTCCAAACTCATATTTTCAGCTTCCTATTAGTCATCTGGAACTGGTAAACTCATAGACATCTAAAACTGCACTCATTACCTTTGCCCCCAAACCCTTCCCTTTTCCTACCTTCCCTCTTACTATCCAAGGTATTACCATCCTCCCAGTCACCCAGGTTCACAACTTAAGTGTTGTTCTTGCCTCCTAGCCCTCTTTAACACCCCTCCCTCCTATCTGATTAGTGGTCACATCCTGTCATTTCCACTTTTGTAACATCTCTTGTACACGTCTCCCTTCCTCTGACGCTGCCATCACCTGGTGCAGGCCCTTGTCACCTCATGTCTGGACTATTGCAGTAGCCTTCTGATTGGTCTCTCTGACTTTTAAGTCTCTCCCCACTCTCATCTATCTCCACTCAGCTGTCAAAGTGATCTTCCTAAAGCACAAATCATACCCCTCCCCATCCAATAAACTCCAGAGGCTTCCAATCACCTCCAAGTCCAAATATAAGATCCTCTGTTTGGCTTTTAAAGCTCTTCATTGCCTGACCCTTTTCTGCATTTCCAGTCTTTTTACAACTTAAATTCCTTTACATACTCTTTGATCTAGTATTATTGGCCTCCCTAAGACATTTTCCACCCCTTAGCTTTCCAGTATCCTTCAAGTCTCAGCTAAAGTCTCACTTTCTGCAAGAAGCCTTTCCATTGCTCCTTCATCTTAGGGCCTTCCCTTGGAGATGATCTCCAACGTATCCTGTATATATCTCTTCTTTGTGCATAGTTGCATGTTTTCTTCCCCAGCACGCAATGAGCTCCTTGAGGGTAGGGACTGTCTTTTGCCTTTCCTTATATCTCTAGTGTTTAGCATAGCGCCTGGCACATAGTAGGTGTTTAATAAGACCGACTGAGGTTGAGAGAGGCTTGATGACTTATCCAGGATTACAATGCTTAGTAAGTGTCTGGGTCAGGATTTGAACTCAGTTGTTTCTAACTCCAAATCTATGTTTTAAATAAATGTTTTAACCACCATGCCATCTAGCTGCCTGAAGGAAGAGAAGAGAAGAGGACACAGACTGGGAGTCAGGGAGAAAGTCTCCACAGTGAATTGTTTTGACTATGATCTGATATTAGAACCAAAAGAAAAGAGTCAGAATTCTAGCTCTGCACCTTATGTGACCTGTCCTAAGACACTTAACCATTTTAGATGGCAGCCAAAAAAGGGATAATCCTAGTCCCACCTCCTACCTCACAGGGTTGTGGGGAGATGAGCACCACTTAAGTCTTAAAGCTCTAAAGAATTGTTTCCCGTGATTGCCATTGTATTCTATCATTATTTTCTATTCATGTCACTTTTCCTGGTTCTCCTCTCACTCTCCGGCCTGGCTCACTCTCACTAGTCAGCCGTTTTCTAGTTAAATTCCAAACAATCTTCCCAACTTTTTCTGTGCTTTCTAATTAAAGCCCAGTGGAGCTGGAGGCATGGGTGACAGAATAAAATAGGACACATGCCAATACTAGCAATTACACTGAAGCAGATTATGTTCCCCCTTTTCCCTACTTGTATTCTGCTGCTCCCCATTGGCTCCTAGCATAGGAACAAAGGAAGGAAACTATGATCCCCTGTGAACTGCTATGCTAAGGCGTGGATCACTTGAGTTCTGTGGAGAAGAGAAGAGCATCCATAGGGATTGCTGGAGTATTGTAATAAAGTACATACAACACCTGGGGACTCCTCCCCATCCCATCCCCAACTCCCAGCCAACAGCCATCATAGGGTTAAGGGTAGTCTATGGATGCAGAGGAGGTGGCAGTATGGTGCAATGAATTTGGAATCTGAAGGCTTCATTTCAAAGCCCCGCTCTGTTATTTACTACCTGTATGACCTTGGGCGAGTCATTTACTCTCATCTGTAATATGAAATGGGGAGGAAGGGGGTCAGACTAGATGATCTATGATAATCTACCAGCATTCAATCAATGATCCTATGGTATGCATTCTCTGAAACCATAGTTCACAAAGCTCCCACCAATGTGTTTATATTTAAGTTTAAGGACACAATTAGTACAAAGAAGTGATATTTAATGAAAGGAATTAGTTTTTTAAAAGTAGCAACAAAGCACTTCCCCCCCACAAACTGGAAACAAAAATATACACAATATTAATTAATAGAAGGAGCAGATACACAAAAGGAATACATAGAGAGAGGTAGGCAAATAGATAACATATATGGACAGGATGCATACACAGGTGCTTGTAAACAGGGAACATGGCTGGTCGAAGCACAGTAGGAGGCCACCTCAGGCCTCAGGTACTGCAGGGTCGCATATCTTTTGGTGGTGCCATTGCTGGAAGCTCAGCTTGGCCCTACTCTGGGGATCTCTTCCAGATGATATTCCCCTATAGTCTTTACCACCTAAAATTCATAGTTATTCCTTCCTCAGTGAACCACAGAGGCTGCCATGTTCTCTTTTCTCAAAGCCTATACATAGGGGTTTTTTTTCCCTATCTCAGAAAAGGAAAAGAAACTAAAATAAAATAAATAATGCTTGCCGTGTGCTCAGCGGAAGGCCTCCTCTGTCTCCCCTGGAACCAATGGAAAGCTTCACCCATCTTATTCCATCAGTTATGGAATGGAAATGAGGCAAATCATCTCATCAGAAAGAAATTCTGACACTAGGTCAGAAACCTCATCCTAGCAGAAGGTAATTATCATTCTACATGGTTCACATTTTTAATCTCTGAATCCTAGGTTAAAAAGCAAGTATTGGCTCTTTGTCTAATAATTGCCACCTCAAGGCTCTGGGAATTTGTGGTTTCTCAAATTTTTAAATGCTGAATCCCTTCCATTCTCCCCTATAAACGAGAGGGTTAACACACACACACACACACACACACACACACACACACACACACACACACAGATAATGGCTAAGGCAAGTGGGTAACCAGTATTGCTGCTTAGTTATATTTCTATCCCCCTTTTTTTTTGAGAGGCATTTGGGATTAAGTGACTTGCCGAGAGTCACACAGCTAGTGAGTGTTATGTATCTGAGGCTAGATTTGAACTCATTTGATTTGAAGTCCACCTGATTCCAGGGCCAGTGTTCTATCCACTGCGCCACCTAGCTGCCCCTTATTTCTGTCCCTTTCATAAGGAAATGTGGCCAGTCAAAGTCTGGAAGGGGCTTTGCCCCACACCTATTAATAACAATAATAATAATTTGTTTGCCTTTTAAAGGAAGAATATCTGTAGCCATTTGGGGCATCTCCAGGCCAGGCCTGGAGTCTGAAAGACTCATCTTCCTGAGTTCAAATCTGGCCTCAGATGTTTACTAGCTACATGACCCTGGGCAAGTCACTTAACCCTGTTTACTTTAGTTTCCTCATCTGTAAAATGAGCTGGAGAAGGAAATGGCAAACCACTCCAATCTCTTTGCCAAGAAAACCCCAAATAGAGTCACAAAGAGTTGGACAAAACTGAAACGAGAGAACGACAACAATCTGTAGTCATTGCTAAAGGACTTGGGGCTGGGTTTTTTTAGTAACTATGGCTTATATCCCTCTTCATGCTAAGCTGCCATGACAGCCAATAAAAAGTCAACAAGCATTTAAGAATTTACGTAATAGTGTCAAGCACTATGCTGAGCGCTGGGGTACAAAAAAAAAAAAGAGAGACAAAGCTTATAATCTAATGGGGTTGACCAATATGACCAATATAAGATATATACATAGTAAACGGAAGATGACCTCAGAGGGTCATCTGGCCGTTGGAGAGGGGGACATTGGGAAGACTGTCTGCAGAAGCTGGGATTTGATATGTTTGGAAAGCAGCCAGGGTAACTAAGGGGCAGAGAATTCCAAATGTGACAGCATCCAGTGTAAAGGCATGGAGATCCATAGCCAAAAGGACTGATGACTGGCTGGAACTGAGTTCAGGCACCAAAGAATCAATAGGTGTTTCCCTTTGACTTTTTTCCTTTTGCTTTGAGTTTTTAACCTACTTTGAGTCTGCAGTTTGGGGTGGGGGAGAGTCAATGACTGTTGTTCAGTCATTTTTCAGTGGTATCTGACTCTTCATGTTCCCATTTGGGGTTTTCTTGGCAAAGATACTGGAGTGGTTTGCCATTTCCTTCTCCAGCTCATTTTACAGATGAGAAAACTGAGGCAAACAAGGTTAAGTAACTTACCCAGGGTCACAAAGCTAGTAAATGCCGAAGGTTAAATTTGAACTCAGAAAGAGCAGTCTTCCTGACTCCAGGCCTACCTGCCCCATCAGTGATTGTAGCTGTAGATACCTTATCTCCCTACCCAATCACTGTTTCCCTGAGCAAATGGTGCTTTTTCTGTCATGTTTCCTCTTTCGTGATCTTAGGTGAATGAGTATCCAGAGATGGAATGGACTAGGTCACAACCCTGTGAGGTTCCAATGGTCTGAAAAGCTTCAAAGTTCCCCTCAGAACCCAAAGGCGGTAATAGAGACCACCAAAAGTTGGTAGCAGCAAGACTGAGTCTGGTGAATAAGCAGACGGAGTTTGGGGTGGGGAATGTCATTTCTATCTTTGCTAAACCTCAGTAAATATCCTTTTGGAAAAGCTAATTTTCATCAATTGGTTTTTCAATATTGGGAGGAGCACATTGGATGGGAGCTCATGAGTAATAGCATTAAGGGTTGCCCTTAAATCCCTGAGAAGAGAGGTAGTCAGTCACTCTTGGGGGACCCAACCTGCCAGTGGGAATTGAGAGAATGCCAAGTACAGAGAAGGTGCTCCAGTAGGGATACTGCAAAAGTCTCTTAGGAAAGAACTGATCTTTCACCATCACTGGAAGTCAGTACTCAAGGCTTTCACTACATTATAGCAGCTTAATTGCATGACATTGTCAACTGACTTCTTTGTTCTTTCTGGGGAACTGGGAATTTACAAGAGGGGGCTATCTGGCTCTACCCACTACACCAATTCTTATGAAACTGAGAATATACATTCAGGGACATCTGGTTTCACCAGTATGGAGTCTCCATTTAACAAAACATATTGCCACCCTTCAGTGCCTTCATAGATGGTCTTCACACAGCCAAAAAATATATTACCCAGTAGCCAACCTCCTGATAAGTCTCTAAACTTAGACTGCTCTTCAGATGAGAGCCAAACATCCTATCTTTAGGCTGTTACCTGAAGCCCTTTCAGCTTGATAGGCCCTGCCAAGACTTTCGGTATAATCTTTGAAAATCCAGGGTCATCATCATGCCAAGATAGGCATCAGAAGAGGAGTTTGTGGAAGATCTTTTGCTCTAAGTAAAGGAGGGGGGGGAAAGAGGGGGAAGGATTTAACAGTTTGAAAATATGACCCAATAAAGTGTTTTATGGCTTAAATGTGACTCATCATATGGGCTATATCACTGGTGCTGGTACGAAAACCTAATGGTACAATGAGACTTTTGAGGAAACTACAAATGTAGGTAAAGAACACCCTTAAGAAGCAAACAGATCTAGTGCCTATACTTGGTTAACTCATTGTTGGGGGAGTGGTGGTGCAATACAAAATTTGATCTCATTCAAGCTTTTCAATAACTGATAATCAATTATAATAACTGGGATTTATATAGTACTTTAAGGTTTGCTTTATATGCATTATCTCATTTTGAGCTTTATAACAACAACTCTGAGTTCCAGAGGTAATTATGTCAGTTTTTTTATTTGGTTTTGGTTTTTTTTTTTTGCAAGGCAATCAGGACTTTTTAGTTTAAGTGACCTGCCCAGGGTCACACAGCTAGTTAAGTGTCAAATGTCTGAGGTCGAATTTGAACTCAGGTCCTCTTGACTTCAAGGCTGGTGCACTATCCACTAATTAACTAATTGGTGCTGCATAGCTGCCTCAATTATGTTCGTTTTAAAGATGAAGAATCTGAAGTTCAGAGAGATTAAGGGACTTCCCTATGGTCATGTACCTAATTATCAGAGGTAGGATTTGAGACCAAGTTGCTCTGACTCCAAGTCCAACATTCTGTCCAATATGCCACATTTCAAATATATCATTGCAGATATCCAAACAACCATTGTTGACTAAAGGACATTCTGAGCTAACTGTCTTTTAGCTTTGAATTTCTTTTGCTTTTGGCATTTTCAGGAATGTTATGGAGTGTTCCAGCCATAGCTCCATATTTCAATGATGGTGGGTACCATAAAGAATAAACTCATTGAAAGACATAAGGAAATCCTATATATGGCATCCAAAAGGAAAGAAAGAAGATCACCTTCTCAAGCTTCTTCATCAAGGGTGTTGTCATTCTCTCTGTTCAATGATACATCTCTAGGTTGCCATTTCAGACCATTGAATTAATGGCCAGTATAAGGCATGTGCAATCTAAGATGCACTTTAACAAGATGCTGCCTTAAGGTCACTGGCAGTAGCAACAGATTACATTATGGGATTATACTTTTGTAAAGAGACTGTGCTATGTAATATTGCATAATAACCAGGAAGGATACTGTACCAGGATGACGCTCAGATTTATTTAATCTGGCAAACAGTTCATTAAAAAGCACAAAATAAAGGCGGTGTAAATAGAATGGACAGTGCCCAATTTTGCAGTGGCAGATTCCTGCGTGGACAATAATTAAACTAGTTCCAGTGAGTTCTTTGATGCCCATGAATCTTTACTTTAGAGCCATATCTGAGAGATCAAAATTGGTTCTAGTCGATACTTAGGTTATTTAATTGATTAATTGTCTTTCCAACTATGAGTAGACATCTACAAACTCTAAGTTCCTAGTGTAATAGACACCAGTGGTCTCATCCTGAGTCCAGCCTCATCGATTTCTAAGCAGCTTCTACCCAGCTTCTCTTTCATTTATTTTTTCATCTGAAGAAACTGCTTTGCCTGACTAGTATTGGCCCCTATCTACAGTTTTGTGTATCACTTGTCGCATTTGAACCCCCCAAACAAGAGTTTCCCTCATTGGTTTCATATAGAATCTCAGTGCTGGTTGGAAGGGACCACTGATTTGGAAGTAGAACACCACAGCCGAAAGATCTAGTGCAATCTTAGGCTACATTAGTGGAAGCATAATAGGTCAACGGAGAAAATAATGCTGCCACATCCTGTCCTGGTCAGGGGCCATCTGGAGTGTCGCACAGACACATTGACAATGTGGTACATGTCTCATTGTTGTTCGGTTATTTCAGTTGTGTCTGACTCTTCATGACCCCATTCAGGGTTTTCTTGGCAAAGATACTGAAGTGGTTTGCCATTTCCTTCTCCAGATCATTTTACAGATGAGAAACCTGAGGCAAATAGGGTTAAGTGACTCTCCCAGGGTTACACAGCTAGTTAGTGTCTGAAATGAATTTGAACTCAAGTCTTCCTGACTCCAGGCCTAGAGTTTTATCCACTGCGCCACCTAGTTGCCTGGTACATCTCTAGAGGAGGGTAAAACAGGTAGTGAGGAGACTGGACATGGATAGGAACTGAAGGTGCTTAGCTTAAAGAAGCCTTAGAAAGGTTACAATAGTTGTCTTCAGATTTTTGAAAGATTATCACATGCAAGGCACAGGATCATAGAATTAAGACTGGAAGGGAACTTACAGGTCATATAATTTGACCTTTTACAGATGATGAAACTGAGGTCCATAGAGGTTAAGTGACTTGCCCAAGGTCATGAAAGACAGAGGCAGGATTTGAACCCAGGTCCTCTGACTCCAAAACCAGTGCATTTTCCAAACTTCTTCTTGACTCTGGAGGGCAGAACTAGGAGAGATGGGTAGAAGTTTTGGGGAAGTCAGTTTCTGCTCAGCATACATCAATGTTGCAGCTAAGAATTGGAGCTATTCAAAAAGTTAGAGTGGTGACATGTGTGTTAGTAAATTCTCTCTCATTGAAGGCCTTCTAGTTGAAGTTTAAATGACTAATTTTGGGGAAGGGAGGGGTAGGCACGGAATTCCTATTTCCTTCCCTTTGTGCTACCTGTCCTCCATGCTAAGAACACTCTCCTTCCTTACCTTCTCCTCTTAGATCTCTGGCTATCAGGGTGGTGCTAGAAGATGTCTTTCTTTGCATCCCCAATGGTTGGCATGGTGCCCAGCACATAGTAAGTGCTTAATAGATGCTTACAGATAACCTTACTTCTGAGGTCTCTTCTAACTTTGATATTATATTGTAAAAGGATGTGTTAGTGGTTATCCACTCTGTAATACTTTATTCCTCTCACCTAGGCATGTGGGCACCTATTTACCCTCAGGGTTGGCTTGCTTACTACTGCTTGTTCTCACACTGGTGTCAGGGTTCCCAGAGAAGTGTACCATATGGTAATAGTCAAATTTTCTCAGGGTACTAGAGATAACCTGGCTGAGGGGAACTACATTCCTACTGACTCATTACTCTAGCTCTCAAGCCCCCAGCAACGCATTTCTATTTACACAACCAACCATTCACAATAATGATACTTTTAGATATTAAACATAACCATTTACTTATTAAGAAGGCAAAAAATAATATCATGGTATTCTTATATTAAAGCAAATTCATAAATAATAAATACACAATCCACACATAAACCTGATACATTCAGTATCTGTGGAAGAGAGTGAAGTTAGAGAAAACTGCAAAAGAAACAAATGAGTGAGTGCTCATTTCTTATGGCAATTTGTAACTCTAAAACTATAAATATCAGTGACCTCTTTCTATCACAGAACTGGTGATAAAAGTTTCTTGGTGAACATAAGCATCTATGTTGAAAGCATGCTTCTTCTGCTAAGCTGAGTTGATACACACTGTGCTTGAATAGCACCTAACCAGAAAGGACATTTCAGTCAAACTATTTGATTTAATGAATGATTTCTCTGAAGCTCTACTTTCAATATTTTTCTAATCAATTAGTCTTCTTCTTCAAATGTAACTATAACGTGGATCACTTCCATCTTCAAACTTAGCTGACATAGTTATTAAATCTGACCTTTCATATGTCTTCTTATTCGGGATTCATACTCTGGATCCTCTCTGGGAACAAATCAACCTTGACCTATGATTAGTAATCAAATTCTCATCTTCTGTCTGTAATCAGATAAACGATATTTGTCGCAAAATCACACGAAAATTCTGGTGTCCATAACTTCTCAGTTTACTATACTTTGTCCCATTCAAAACTTGTCAACTGCCTGTCTCAGAACTCTGAGTCACAATCAACCCTCAGCAACTGCCTCTTGGAGTAACATTTTCTTTTTGAACTTTGAGCAGGCTTAAATAGACAACAAATCTAAAAGCAGCAATGCATTACACTATGATTCTGTGAGGTCATTCAATTACACATGCCTCTCATCCCTGGGGCTAGTAAGAGATGCTCCTACTCTCCTTATCTGTCCATAGAGCTGCTTTCCTCTCATAAGGTCTGGACCCATCTATTTTTGTGCTATAGGACTTCTCCAAAGACTCAGAAGTCTCTCTTCTTTTTTTCCTCCTCTGAATCACATTTTTACACCCTCCAACCTCTTGATCCTTATGAGCATAGTTTAAATTCCACTCCCTTCTTCATACTTTTGTCCTTTATTTTCATCCTGGATCTTTTCTTCCATCTTGCTAGGGAATATTTCCAGTACCTGCTACTAGGTTTCAAAAGTATTTTACATACATTATTTCACTTGATCCCCAAACCGCTCTGGGAAGTGCAACAGATGTTACTGTTCACGTTTTACAAATGAGAGAACTGAGGCTGTGGTTGGTTAAGTGACTTGACTAGAGTCACACATCCAGAAAGTGTCCAAAGTAGCATTTGAACATAGGTTTTCCAGGCCTCAAGTCCTGTCCTCTGCCTGCTCTAGCACAGCACCTCCCTGAAAGGTGAAGAGGAGAAAGACAGTTCTTCCTTCTTCCAGCCCTCTTACCTTGCCCTCTTTTAGGGAAAACAATTTGAATTTTTTATCTGTTGATATTCCTAGATAGTACTTCTTCATATCTACAGCCTAACTCCAGGCACAATCCTCTACAAAGAAATGTGTTCCTAAAGTGAATGTGCCAGCGCCACTAAACCAAGACCAGGGTTGGTAGAAATAGCCATATCGGGAAACTGAGTCATTTTACCTATCCTAGGGCAGCTAAACAAACATACCCAGAGGCCCAGTGGAAGATCTGGTCTCCAGAAGCAAAAAAGTTTCAAAAAGCTTCAAATCATTGATTTTTTTTTTAACCTTAATTAGGGGCAGTTAGGTGGCACAGTGGATAGAACACCAGCCCTGGAGTCAGGAGGACCTGAGTTCAAATCCAGCTCAGACACTTACTAGCTGTATTACTCTGGACAAGTCACTTAGCCTTGATTACCTCCTTTACCCCTCAAAAAAAGCCTTAATTAAAACTACTTCCAGTCATAAATTAGCCAATGAAATAGGTCTCTAAGGGGGGATATGGGAGAAAGTTAGGGTATCCTACCTTTAAGAAGGGGAGGGGGAAGGAAATCACCATAACCTTTAGAGACCACCTAGTCCAACCATTTTGCATGCAATAATAATAAAATAAAATAAAATAAAACAAAATATAGTCTTGACAATAAACAATATGAGGTATATATAAGAATTATTATTATCCTCATTTTACAGATGAGGAAATCAAGACCCAGAGAATTAAAAGACATCTCCAGGTCACCCAGATAGTACATATCATGTTAGAATAAAAGCCCAGTCTTCTGACTCCAAACTCAATCCTTTCTGTTATAACATGCTGCCTCATTTTCCCTGGAACATTAGCAATTCCCTTTGAGATGGAAATTGAGCCTGATTCTTTGTATTCCTGCAGTGCTTTGCTGGGAATATAACTCATGGTCACTAAAGACACTGATTTCTTGGGGAGTGCTAGCTCTCCCTCCATTTGACATTTTTGCTGAGTGAGACTTTTGTTAATTACATTGAGAGCTGTGTCTTTGAAGCCTCTGCCTGCCATCTTGAAACTCCTTTGTGAAAGCAGATGAGACTGAATGCTGGAAGGGATCCAAGTGATCTTCCAGTCCATCAGTAACCCAGACTCCCAGGCAGGGTTCCAGTCCATCAGGAACCCAGACTCCCAGGAAGGGTTCCTGTTCCTAGGTGGGCGTTAACCACACTGGGTATGCTTTGGATCTTTCTGTCTGGAAAGTTGCCCAGAGGAGAAACTTTCTTTCCAAAAGAACATATAAGTTATGCCCAAGATGTGGGCTGCTAAATATTAAGCTAGAGCGTAGGATGGTATGCAAGGAGGAGAAAGAAATTGCACTTCTCTGAAAGGTAAACAGTGCAGAACTGTGTTTACAGAAGCCCCTACGCTGCATCTTTCAAGTGGGTTGCTTCTGCTGAGAATCCCTGCCCCCTCAAACTTCTCCTGGACTGGACCCTTCTCATCCACTAAGACACTCTTTCTCATATTTGGAAAGCTTCTCTGTTTGTTTTGAACTGCTATCCATGCTCTAAAGCCCAATTCAAATGCTACCTCCTCCATGAGGCTTTCCATGATC